CACTACCAGAATCCAACCTGCCAGCCCTTGTTTCCTCATCAACAGCTCTCTGGGCTCTGCGGACTCAAATGGGCTGCCTGGAAAAGCTTCATAGACATAAAGCACACTGTTGCTGTTGGCCACTGGACCCTGCTGACTTTTAAAATGCCAGAATCCAGACTTTTGTTGTAAAACATGCTCTCTGGAGTACTTATTGTCAATCAGCAGCAGCCAGGAATCATCATGGGTACAAAATGAAGTGAAATATGAACATTGAGTGGCAGCCAAAATTAATTTTATCATGGGACAACAGGATTCAGAGTGAGACACATGTGCAGAGCATGCTGTGTTGACTTTGTGGCCAAATGTATATATTTCCTTTGGAAGGCTTTCGAAGGGGGGAGGGCTCTCTTGCATCTCTGCTTGAAAGGCTTGATCTGGAACAAATGTTTTATGACTCTTGGTGGAACAACACTGTAAATTCTGGTTGTTGGCTCATGGATTGCTCATTGTTTGTTTGCCAAGCTTTTCCTCTTCCCCCCTTGTGTTTCTTTCACTCGCTAAAGTCTGAGCACTTACCTCACTCTAACCATTAATAGAAACCATGGATATACACTGCTGGCTTTTATTCAGAGACAAGAGACGTGAGCAGAAGACTCCAAAGTAGCGCTGAGACATGCATTATTGTTTTCTTCACCGGTTCACAGAAACACACCAGCATTAGCAATGTTATTTGCTTTCTATATCTCAACAATCCACCACAGTAACATTCATCTCTTTAGTACCACCAGAAAGTTACTGCATGCTCTTTTTGTACATCAGCTCTTGATATGCACGATCTGTTTGCAACACCTCCTGATGACACACAGCTTTTCGCCATTTCCCAGACTAAGGGTGTTCCTCAGTGGAGCGGTCCAATCTGCGTAATTGATCTCAAATGTTTGGAATACATGCTTCCCTTTTGATGCACATATGGCCATAGTATGTGTCTTCTTATAGGCAGAGATGACAGGATATAGATTATTTCATGTTTGGAACTATTCAAGATTCTCAGCACCAGCAGATGTGTTGTATTTTTTTCTGTCACATACAGAATAGAAGATAGCATTGTCTTACAATTTGAGCGAGGGCTTTGAAGCAGCTCAAAGGTTTACATATCGTCAGAAACTAAAAAATAATCTGACTAATAAACTGATTATAATTTAATTAGTAACAGATCAGAACAAAGTTGGTAGAAGTTTACAACAATCACACAAATGTGTGATTTTTCTGTAACCATCTCCTACATACTAGAGGGCACATCAGTTGATTAATATTTATTAGTATTTGTACATTCACAACTTTCCCACAGTCCCACCACAGCACTCAGTCAGCAGATTTTCTGCTGTTTGGGATCACTGTCCTGTTCATGATACAGTTTAAGTTAAGTTTCACCTGTCAAAGTGATGGGTTTAGATTTTATTGTTAAATACTTGTTAAAAATTGAAAGATAAGGTAGCTGGATTATTGGTAACTGGTAGCCTTGGTAGTTGAAAGTTCAGTTTTACTGACATTGAACTAAAATTTGATGTGTTGACAGTTTTTTTACAAGACATACTTTAACTTAAGCTCCAACAGATTAAACAAGATAATACCAATTTAAGGAACACCAGATTTTTGATATGTAAATGTTGAAGACGGTGCATGCTTCCCTTCAACCAACATTATAGTGATAAAACACAAGATTTTATCCATGTTATTTTGATCGATTGTCAGTTTTTTAAGGTCTGAAGAATTACCTTCCAGTTGCAGTAACATCCAGTTTTTAGTTTTTTTAGATTTAAAATACACGATACAACACCACCTCTTGCCCGTCGACCCCTGGAGAAAAGCACCAGCTGCCCTTTGACACCTGCATGTAAAAGAGTGTAAAGAAGGTGAATGATTGGATAAAATACTTGATACGATTTTTTCTTCTTAAAAGAAGAGATACATTCAACATTTTTTGCTGTATTTGATTATGAAATATAAAATGTTACTCTTCTGTGAACATTTGACATAAAACAAAAATTAACCAATCTGTATTGTAAATATAAAAGTTTGATTCTAATTAGTTCATTTTTATGTGAATGCAAGAACAATATTTTGTCTCAAAGCTCAAGTATTCAATGACATGTATTTATATTTTCTATTTAAGCCAAAGGCAGAAATGATGTTTTGGTTTTCTACTTTTTCGTCTGTCAGCTGGGCCGAGACAGAACACAAGCAGAGAAAGTTTGTTAAAGCCCAGAGTGGGTCGTTCATATCTCCGCTTTAGATTCCTGAGGTTTTCTGTGCTCTGGAAGGCCTGGAGCTAATTTGGCTTTCAGGCTTTTCCCTGTAATTCTTTGCGACTAATTATGGTCGTATTCTCGCAATTAAACTGATAAACTCTGCTGAGCTTGGCAAGAAGAGTGCAGTAGCTCTCGCCCCTCCTCCTCCTCCTCTTCCTGCTCGATGGCTCAGAGCACCTCCCCTCTCCTTCTTCGTAATCTTTTTTTTTTGGAGACCACTTGTAGTAAACAAACTAAAAATAAAGTCAACCTAAATTCTTCGATGGAGTCTGTCCTCAGTATTTACAGCCTCTGGTGACAAATCCAGGAACCCAGAGAGGAGCGTCCAGAGGTCAGACAGATGTTGACCATAAAGATTTGGAAAGTTATGTCTGCGAAACCCAAACACTTCAGAAAGTAATTTCTTTATTAGTAGTACCAAAATACTTACTTATAACCAAAGGACATTTACATCAGACTATGACAAGAGCAGGTCATATGTATTTGCACTTAGATTAAAACTAATTTGGGCTACCAGCTCTGTTTAGCTCCAGCATACAGAGGGGATATTTTTGGCAGGAAGGAAAATAAGCATGGAAATAAAATGAGGTAGACTGCCTTTATACCATGAACTTGGGTAAGCCTCCAGCACATGGAAATGTTTATCGTTCTGAAATGAAGCACATGGTACATATTGTATCAAAAGTTGTTCCTCCTAAATGTGGAGTGGCCAGTCTGAATTCTTTTCACTCACAGATTTTATTGTCAACCGCAAAAACCTAAAGGCTGACAAATATGTTTTTGCCCGTATCTGTTCATGTGTCTGACTGTTACCAAAACCCCTCAAGAACCACTAAACACCTTTAATGAAGCTTACAGGAAGCAATCATTGGATTCACATCTACAACTGATTAAAGTTTAGAGTTAATCCAAGTCTAGGTTTTTTGACGGTTCCTAAACTAAAAAAAAAAAAAAAACACTATAATGGCTTTAACATTTACAGACATTATACAGGAATTTGGGGTGGTTTTTGTTCTAAATTTTCCTATTAATTATGTTGTTGGAGTCAACTCTATCTAAGAAAAAAATCACAAAAACCACTGGATGTAGTATTTTAATAAAACTTTCTGGAAATAACTAATATTTATACCTCTACAACATATTAATACTTGGAGCCAACCCAGTTAAAGATAGACACTGTGGCCTGATGAACAAACAAAAACACAACTATGATTCAGTCCGTTTGACATGTTTTGGGTGCTGTACCTGTGAAACACTTTCTCCTTCTGGCCAGTCTGTCTGTTTCTGTATTTACTATCTGTGTCTCTGTGGAGAGTTTCTGTTCCCCGTTGTCTCTTGTGGCTATTTTGAAGCACACCTATGCTTTAGTGATGACATCCTACCCCCGTCTTTGCTGTGTAAACAGACACCTCGCTGTGCACAGGGACAAAACTATGCAGAGCATTTTTGTAGAGGCTTCACAACAATAGCTGGGATGTAGTGAAGGATGGGTTTCACCAGTGTTTGTGGAGCTGGTTTAAATAAAAAAAACTTATCACCCGGTTTGTCTTTTTTTTTTGGTTTCAGATTTCTGAAGGAAAACAATCATAATAAGCAAGGAGTTTCAATTGAAATGTTGATGTTTATGGTCGAATTGAATGCACTAATATTTAATAAACATATTCGTTCAAGCACAGCATCACCATTTAACATGTTTTTGCAGAAGGAAATACCCTGGATGCTAACTAAAGCAAACACAAGACAGCACATTTCCCCCCCACAACAGATGCCTTTGTCTCCTAACTCTCTTGTTTTCCCCTCCTCTAGGTATCGCAGGGCTCAGAGGTCCGCTTTGAGCAGGGAAACTTCACCCAGATCCAACTGGAGACCCTACCCCACGGCAACGATCACCTCCTCAACTGGGCCCAGAAGAAGTACAAGGCCGTCACCTCCTTCACTGAGCTCCGGATGACTCAAGCCATCTACATCAAAGTTGGGGAAGGTATGCACCTGAGTCAGAAAAAAAATCCCAAACATAGCTGCAGGCCCCTGAGCAGCCCCTCTTCTTCCATGCACTTTAACTTCTTAACTTTACTTAGCTTTTGTGCTTTAGCCTAGCCTAGAGGTTTAAATCCACTAAACTTTGAAAAGAACTGCCTTCCCGTCATAGAAATTTACACCCTCACACGGTTTCACTGTCTGCATGTGGCTTTTTCTAAACTCAGACTATTTACAGTTATAAGAGCTATTAGATCCCTCCAAGAATAATAGCAACATTTGTTGAGATTAAAACAACTTTAGAATATAGACTAAACACAATTACACGCTCTCTGTATGTTTTGAAGTTCAGTACGAGATTTATATGAAAGTAAACAAATAGTCCCCACGTGTTTTTGAGTCATTGTCAAACAAAGCTGCTATGGCTTGGAAGAATAGTAATTCCTAAAAGACAGTTTTCAGTGCGTTTTAGGCTGTGTCATTACTTGAGAAAATAGTTACCAGAATAATATAATTGTCTAAATGCTGAGTCAGAGTTCATACGATTGTTTTCCTCTTTATAGTTTCTTTCTTACATTATTTGCAATCAAACTACCATCTTGGTGCTATTTTAATTACACATGTAGAAAAACATTCAGATCAAACTTGAATGGTCTGCTATGACTTTAGTTTTTTATTTTTACATTTTTCAAATTTTAATTTAATTTTACAATATTTTCTCTTTTTCAAAACATCGTTCTCATTGAAATCCACTTCAGCGTACTTGTGTGGTTTTTGTCTGTTCTGTTTTACCTTTTAGGTATGGTTTTGCTAATTTTATCTTTTACAGTAGCTATAGCTTTGCTAAAATTAGCAAAACTATAGCTACTCTTTATGTACTTGTGCTTTTGCTAAATTTAGCTCTTGGCTACTTTTTTGCTACTGTTGTGCTCTTTGATTTTAGCTGCTTTGCTGGTTTTATGTTCAAGCAGTTTTGCTAGCTTTATCACATGGCTCCTATTTTACAGGTTTTCACATTTTACTACTGCTTTACAAATGTAATGTTTTTGCTACGGTTTTGCTCATTTTAGATTTTTGCTATGTTTAGCTTGTTTTATCTCTTAGTTTCTGTTCTGCTGGTTTAATCTTTTAGCTATTGTTCTGATCGGTTTAGCTTTTAGCGAGTGTTTTGCACAATTTTTGCAACTTCTTGTTGCTTTAGCTTTGCTGTTCTGCTGAATTTACTAAAAATAGCAGAAGGTTTGAAAAAGAAAAGATTCATTACAGCATTTTAATTTAAAATGTGATGAGGAGTGTGAAGTTATGAAGCTGTAGTTTGTGAAGACTTTCCCTTTATAATTTTCTGATTCTTATTAAACTTTGCAGCTCATATTTAAGCTTTTACCGAGAACGTCTGCTACGCCTGTATCTGCAGGAAATCCTGGCCATATCACTGCTGTTGATTCAAGTCCATCCTCCATGTTGAGAGTGTGGCGAGCAGAGTGGTTGCTCAGCCTGCTCACTTGGCAGGTTAGGGGATGTGGTTTGGCAAAAGCCCAGAGTGCCACAAAGTTTGTTTCAAATAAAGAGCTGTAAATGTTCACAGCGAAACATCTTCAGTGGTGTTTTATGAAGATGGACATGTTCTCACTTAGATTCCTACCTGGGCTCCTGCTCAGGTTTTCTCTTCAGCCTTTGATTGTAGTGATCATTGTGGGTTTTTCTTATTATTTTTTAAAGAGTTCAAACAAATTACCCACATGATTAGAGTCCAGTGATCAGAGCTCACCCAGCCTCTTCTCATTAGGCTGGTCAGAGCTGTATTAGTGCTGTATTCAGAAGTAGAATAACTGGAATCCCAGTATTTGAGTCACTAGAAAAGATTTCCTCTGTTACCACAGCTCATCTCAAAATAAAAAAATATCTTAATACCAAGTTCTTTTTCAACAGGAGATCCAATTTCTTTCCGAAGCAGAGTGTACTGTTCTGTAGCTGACCTCAGACTCTGATGTCATGTTGTAAAAAAAAGTCCAGCGAGCTGTTGTTATCATTTGCTGGATCAACGTCAGTCCACAAATCGTCCGTCCGCTAACACAAACTTTTCTCTGTTTTCAGATTCCTGGTTTTCTGACACCTGTAAGATCGACACCATGTTTCTGTCTCTGAATTACCTGGGCAGCTACCAGGTGCTGCAGGCGTCGAAGGGCTGTGTGCTGTCTGCGCCTGAGAAAAACAGAGAAGTGCACATCGTTGACCTGCAAGCTCCAAACTCGAGCAGGTGAGCAGCCAAAACTGTCAAAATGAAGAATACGTGTTGCCGTTCTTCTTTTCTTTGAGGGCAGGTCGCTCTCACCAAGCTTTGCGGAATGAGGTTCACAAACATGCGAGCCGGATGGGTTTGCCTGTTCACATAGTGGTGTTCTTTTGAGGAAGATTTATCAAAACACACTCTGAAAGACTAGGTTGTTATAGAATGTACTCTTTATCCAAGCATTACTCTGAAAACCCAAAAGACTGAAAATCTGGGAAAGCTTTGCTAGGTATGCTCTATCTCTTGTTCTATCTCGTCTGTAGTGCATATGGCTGTTTTTTTCTGGGAATGCATCCAGTTTATTAATTATTTGGCCAGCAGTAGAAGGCGTTTTAACACTGAGGTTTATTTTCTCAATTCTTCTCTGCAGTGCTTTTCAAGTGGATGTCATTGTGGATTTAAGGCCTCTGAAGACTGATGGTGTGGTGATACGGGACGTCACCTTGCTGCTTAAATGTGCGAAGTCTGTCAATTGGGTTGTCAAAACCCACAACGTGATGGGGAAGCTGGATGTAGTGGTGAGCTGGCATCAAAACAATAAGCATATAAACTTCACCGCAACAAAGAAATCAAAATACACTCATAAGAACAACTTCATAACGAAATTGTCAAATCGAGAAGTGTAGTAAACTGGCACATCTTCTTCACTTCACAAGTTTGGAAAAACTGTAAAAACTTTATGTCTTACCTCTAAGAACTGCTGTGGCTTCGTGGAGCCAGGGCTTGGAGTTTCGGAGGCATCATAAACTTTCACAGCCAAGGCCACTGGAACTGAGCAGAGTCAGAGCTGCTGTGTATCAGATACGGTGTGGAATACGAGCAGCACCAGATCCAGCCACTTTTTCTCAAGTTGAAAAGTTGTTGGAACCACCTCATTTCATACAAAGGAAAAACACAAGCTAATCACTGCAGTTTATCAAAGTAGCATTAACTTAGCTGCAGGCTCAGCGTGTGCATGGAGTTAAAAAATTAAATCTTCATTAGTGCTACTTAGGTCTCACTGGAACTTTACAAACTTTAAGAACATGACACCTACACCTACACACACACACACACACACACACACACACACACACACAC